CTGGGGCTCGCCACGGCCGCACTGGGGCTTCTCAAATGCCCCTCTCTGGGGCTGGGGTCTATGCACCCCGTGTGCTGCACCCGCTGGCGTCCTCACACTCCGCTGTGAGTCCCCTATGAGGCCTCCTCCAACCCCTTATAGCCTCACCCAAACCACCGGTCTTAACAACAACAAAGCAACACAAACTTGAGCCTCCTGGCTATAACTCAAACATAAGCCGCCTGGCTACAACAACATTGCTCAACTCCAGTCAAGCAGTACCTGCCGTTAGGCTTCTACCCACATCATTACTCCAGGAGCTCCTGCCTCTCTAGGTGCTGGCAGGGAACTGCCTCAGGCCTCTGCTTCTGGGCTTTATAAGGGCCAGGCCCTGCCCCTTCCGGCCAGCTGATTTTCATTAGTTACCCCGGCAACCCACAGCTGTGCTCCCTAATCACTGCTAGGGCTCCTTCCTTAGCAGTTTTTCCTTCTTCAGGCACAGGGCACCCCAGTGCTCTGTGACAGGGAGCATCACCTCCTTTGATCTATTAGTCATGCACCTGCTAATGTACGACAAGGTGTAATTGGCCTTGTTGATGGCCTCGTTACACTGCTGGCTCATGTTCATCTTGGAGTCAACTATGACTTCAAGATCCCTCTCTGCCTCTGAGCTGCTGAGAAGGTCACTCCCTAACCTATAGGTTTGCTGGGGGTTCCTCCTTCCCAGGTGGAGTACCTTACATTTATCTTTATTAAATTGCATCTTATTTCTCTCTGCCCATTGATCCAACCTGTCCAGGTCAGTCTGAATCTGCTCCCTGCCCTCCGGTGTACTAACTTTGCTCCATAACTTGGTATCATCAGCGAACTTGGAGACGTCCCCCTAAGCTGGTGTAAGTGATTCCTCACCACATAGTGGTCTCCTGGCATCTCCATGTCCTCAGAGCTGTGGGGCTCCACCTCCCTTGCCCCCTCCCTTTGTTCTTGCTGGGAGGCCCTGTTGTTTTTGGGCACCCGAAATCCTTCTCCAGGAAGGCAAGAAATGGACTCTGGGTCAGATGTGCACTTGTGGGCTGTTTGCCCCAAAGAATATTCCCAGATTCCACCTCCAGCCCCCTCCAAAGCAGTAAAATTCCTGCCCTAGCAGTCCAGGTCTCAAGAGACTCTGCTAATGGGGAATGGAGCTGTGTAACCACTGCCAGGAGCACACACAGCCAGACACTCCTCATCCAACAGGCTACCAAAATACATCCAAAGCAAGTGTTTCTTCCACACAAGTGGATCCAAGAGAGCTGAGCCCAGTGCGGGTGAGAGAACCAGGGATTAGCTTGGGACTGGCGTGCACCAACCAGGGGGTTCAGCTTGGTGGAGAATGGGAGGGTTTCGTTAGCCAGTGCAGCAAGATTAGACTTTGAAAACTGCATTTTGGGGATTGACTCTGTGTGGTGAGTCAGGACCAGCCACAGTCATAGAAAGGACTCCAGGGACAGCACTGGACATGCCATGTATCTTATTTTTAGAAATGGATGCAGTTCCAGGCTTTCAGGATCCCTGGACAGTCCTAGGAGATGATCTAGAGGTTTCAGAGCTGATTCAGCCAATCTCTCACCTGTCCAGGGGTCTCCCGGGATCTTTCTTTCCTCCAAGCCCTGGAGATATGGGACTTTTGGCTCCTCCTCTTGTGCCATTTGGAGATCTTGGGAATCAGAAAGGTCTGTTAAGGGGAAAAAACCCCCCAGGTAATTTCAGGTGAAGTATCTCTCCATGGTGCCTTTGCTACCAAGAATATCCAAAGACTGCAGTCCTTCCTGAAGGACTAGCAGGACTCAGAAGAGGACTTGTCTTTGTTACAGACAACAAGAACATTCAGTTATGGACGATGGAATAGAAAATGTACAATAGATATGAAACCTCATGTGTCATGGCAGAAGACAACTAGCAACTGGTTCACAGCTTCCCCTCTGGACTGCTTATTCTACTGGATGCTGGACTGGTTGGCCCACTGGTCTGACCCAGTATGGCTAAGGTTCAATTCCACTTCAGTAACATGGCAGGAGAATATGATGTTCACAAATCCATAGATAAAGCCCACATCTATATTTCCTCCTGACCCACCCCAACCGGGCGCTTCATTTCATGAGGAAAAATTACTAATTTTGAGGCCTGTTTCACTTTCCCACAAAGTTAAGATAACTGGTGTATCTCAAGAAATTGAAAAAATTCAAAATTATTATTTCCTCTGGGTTTGGATTCAGGCCCTTGTGCTATGGCATGCATTAGGATTGGCCCTTTCACCACTATACAAACAAAAAAACAGAATTTGGATTTATCCTTAGAAAGCAGGGAAACATTTTATAAGGCAGGGAAAGCATTAAAGTGATGGTGAAGCCAAAGGCCTTGCACAGAATGACAGAAAACATGTCTAGAAACTGATAAGCCTTACTCTTCCTTACCATTTGTGATCACTGAGGGGCTTTTTATGCACCCCTACCATAGGGTGCAGCGATTTGAGAAATGTTGGACGAAACACAATTATTTTTTACCAACTTTTTGTTCATCAGCTTTGTGGCCAAAATATAGATCCTTCTGAGCAATTGTCCTTTAAAGCAAGATGTCCTGAAGTGTCATAGGGACAGAAGAGCACAAGTCCACGCAAAAATCAGGAAGCCCCACTGAGAACCGATAGGTCTCAAGCTCCTACATGATTTTAGTGCTTTTGAAAATCTTGGCCCTACTTATTTTAGTAATTTAAGGTCCTTAGTGACTTCATCTGCACTTCCTATAGCTGAGAGAATGCTTGATGGAGGAGGAATTGTTTTGCATTGTTGTCATAGATAAGGCCCAGAGTCTAGAAACACCTGCTCAAGTGCTTAAGTTGGAACCCATTACTGGTCCTAATGGTGACTTCATGTGTGCAGAAGCTAGACCTGTGCTGGTTTCAGTGCTGGCAACTCTTGCTGTTTTCATTGTCACTCACATGATATTTGGGAACTTTTCTTAAAGCTCTTCCTTCTGGAGTCAAGGGATTAACTGAGAATTTCTGCTCCAAGTATAGAAAACAGAAATGATGATAGCCTTCCTGGTGGCAAAGGCAGGCTTGAAAATATGAAGCAAATGTATACTAGAGGTCTTGAAAGCAGAAGACAAAGGAAAAGGAAGCCAATATATATTATAATGCCTCTCCCCTCCACCCCCCAAACAACAAACTCATGGTTTTATTAGCTTAGCTCACAGTTTTCTGAGGTCCTGACACACAATTTTTCACTCCTTAGCATTGGCAACGGGATGGCTTTTCCAGGCCTTTTTCTTTAGTACTGCCCCTGACCTTCCACTGCCCCTTACGTTTACTACTAGTCATTGGATAAAATGGATTGAGAACAGTGTGGTGGGAACATTTCTGTCCCAGTAGGAAGAACAACTGAAGCTAGAACCCAGGACCTGTGGCTTTCCAAGCCAACATCCACCTCGGGCTTGCCCTTCTCCTCTTGGCTCTTGCTTGGCTTCCCAGGAGCTAGTTTTAAAAGAAGCATGGGAGAGAAGCATCAGTAATGCATAATCTGTAGTGTGGTGGTTAGGCTGCTATACTGGAAAGTTTGAGATATGCAGGGTCAAATTCCTTGTAGGTAAGGAACCAAGAAGTCCATGTTTCTGGGTAAGCGCACTAAGCACTCTCCTGTTCTTAGAGCTAAAACAGCAGTGTTAGATCTCCTGAGCGCATCTACATGTGTGCTCTAATGCACATTAGCCTATTTTAATGCACATTGAAGTGTCACAAAAAACCGTGCGCTTTCACTAATTCACATTAAAATAGGCCAACGTGCCTTTTTCTAGTACCTCATCACAATGGAGGTACTAAATTGAATGTGCATTAGCAAAAGTGCATTAATGAAAGTGTGGATGCGCCCTCTTAATCTAACACTCACAAATCATGGCTTTCTGGCTGGCTACATTTCCATGATTTAGATCCAAGTATGCATCCAGAAACAGCAAAGGTACATAGCTGCACATATGCTCAGCCAGCACGTAGAACTACTACAGTGACTCATTCTATGTGCGCACACATATGCGTCCATGCAAGAGGGGTAAAAGAATAACTACATATGTGGAAGTGCTAAAAAGGCCACTTTTACAGCTATTCCTTGCAATGCATGCCTTGTGCTAAAACAGAAGCAATGTTTACAAAAAGCAAGTACAAAACCATCTTGGTTAGCATGGGGCCTGGCATAAATTCCACAAGCAAACTCAAACCATTTGAGATGAACAGCAGTTTCCTTTGAGCTCCTTCTGTTTGCTATATGGAAGAATATTTTTGGAAATGGAGACTCAAGCCAAATCCCCACAAAACAATAGTCACTGCATTCTATCTCGGTAACAGGAATGCTAAGTATACCCTGAAGGTAACTTTCTTATCTCGGAATGAGGCTGGACTGCATGCTAACCTTTCACGACCACCTGAAGAAGGTGGCTGCCAAGATGAAGGTAAGGGTCAGTTTGGTCCAGAAATTGGCAAGCACAAGCTGGGGAGCATCAGCATCAGTATTACGGACATCAGCGCTGGTCCTTGCATACTCTGTAGCCAAGTATTGTGCACCGGTATGGACCAGGAGCAGTCACACTTGACTTGTTGACATCCAAATGAACTCTGCAATGCGGTGCATCACCGGAACCCTCAAGTTGGCACCAGCACCTTGCCTGCCTGTGCTGTCGCACATCGCTCCTCTACCCATTCATCACAAGGCAGAAACTCTACAGTACGTCCGCAGAATTAAGGAAACCAAATGTTTCCCCATCCACCAGGACCTCAATAATGCCCCTCACCGTTGCCTAAAGTCACACAAGCCTTCTGGCTCCACGTGCTTAACCTTCAACAACATGGCATTAACCCTGATGAAGCTTGGAAAATCCAATAGAGTTCACAGGAAGTCCCAAGTGAACATCTTGCATAGATTCAATGCAGAAGGTCCCTGGCTTTGATCTCCCATAATGGTCATGGGCAACTCTAAACTGTATCTGCACAAGCCACAGGTGATTCAGACACTTGATGCACAAATGGAAAATTTAAAAAAACTCTCCAGTGTGCGACTGTGGTCACCCAGAACAGACCATGGAACATATGACTCAATGCCCGATCCACAAATATGAAGGAGTTATCACAGCAGTACACTCTGCTGATCTTGACACAATTGTCTGGCTCAGTCACCTAAATGAAAAATTACAGTTGCTGTTCTGTATCTACATCAGCCATACAAAAGAAGAAGCTCCTTCTCCCATGAGTGTTGCTTTTGATTCTGCTCTTTATAAAGCCAGGGGGGCTTGGTAAGAAATGGGTGTAAAACAATGAATGGATCCCTCTCCACTGTCCAAATGCCTCTCTGCTCTGGGCTCTCCTGCAGGCTTGAGAAGGAGCTGCCTCTATGGGAGCCAGGAAGGGAAGGAGACATGAAGGGATGCTTAACTCCAAACTCAGCTGCAGTGCTCCAGAAGGGACTGTTACAGTCACAGCGAGAAGTAGCTCCCACTAGATGCTTCTCAGCTGGGCCCCTGGAAGCACACAGGACCAGGCAGAGAAGCATCCCAGACCAGATGAATTCAGTTTTAAGTCCCATCCAGCACTGCCCTCTGAGCCAGGACAGTAAATACTCATTTGCCTGTGGGAGGATGTCCCTGTACATTGATCCTCCCATGCAGTAGGTCTGGCCTTTCCAGCCTCCCTCCCAACTTCTGTCTCGCGCTCTCCCTTCTCCTTTGCTTGGGATACTTAGGGCAGTCATGCTCCCACTCCTGCCAGTGCTAAGAGCAGCTCTGGGAGCAGAGATGTGCGCAGAGGGGCGGTGTGTGGAGAATCACTGTCCTGCCCATCCCTGGCACTTTCCCCAAGCTCTCTCCATTACCTGGAGTCTCCGGCTCAGCAGTTGGTGTTGGCAGAGCCCAGGGCTGCCTTGAGGGGGGGCAAATACCAGCCAGAGAAAGTCCCTGTCCAAGGCAGTGTTGTAGGTCGAGTTGGTATTGTGAGACACAGGAAGGGGTTGGAGCAGCTGAGAGCAGCTGTAGCTGGTGCTGGGAGGAGGGAAACAGGAAGGGGGGATAATAGAGATTAGCCTGCGTGGCTGCTGCACTGGTGGTGGTAGCAGGAAAGCCTGATACAAGATGCTGCTGCTGCCTCCCTGGCCGTGCTGGCTGAGCTGCTGCTGCCCCAGCACAACCCTAGGCAGGGGCCAGGCCCTGCTGACACTAACCCCAAGCTGCAGCCTGGATGCACCCACAGACACAGCCTCCCTCTGTACTGCATGGGGAGAGTTAGGTGCTTCAGGAGAGAGGCAGGGGGTGCTTGGGGATATCGGACCAACTGTCCAGCAGTCTAGTCTGCTGTTGAGGAGTGCCAATAATGCCTTCCAGCATAACAGCCCAGCACCCAGCAGAATATGGTGCAGATCTAAAGAGAGCTCTTGGATCAGGGGCCTAAATGATCCCCCGCACCATGAATTAGGAGATCCTAACACTATCACTGTGGCATGCAGCTGGGGCTTGGCAGGGCAACAAGCTGTCAGCAGGTAAAAATACAGTTCAGATTTCTTTTAAGTGCATCAGTTGAGGGCAAATTTCACGGGCTTTTTTTTTGTTTGTTTTTTGGGGGTTTGGGGATTTTTTTTAGGCTCTGGGTTATGTTTTTAACTTTTTTTGTGTGACAAAGCAGTTATTTTACCCTCTTCATGTATTTGATTTATATGCTTCCATCCCTTCCTTCCCTACCAAAAAAAGAAAAAAAGGCCTAGGGCAGCTTATAATAACATATCCTCTGCACCAGAGGTTGGATGGTGCAAGGAGTTTTACCCCCACGCAAAATATGTGTGTGTATGTATGTGTGTATACCGTACACATTCCTATCACAATATCCTCACCGTGCCCTCAAGCTCCCGCATGTCGATCACCATCACCCTTGGCTGTCACAGTGATGCAGCCTCTCCCCTTAGGGGTCAGTGTGGACAAACTGAGCCGTAAGCTCCCAGTGCAGCACTGTGAGGAAATGTCCCAGGGGCATCCAAAGATATAAAAGCAGCAGAGTTGGGCAGTGATGTTGTCTTTTGTACAGTGTTGGTGAGAGCAGTATTGGGAGCCATAACCAGGTCCAGGGATTGCATGTGGGAAAAGGTGGGAAATTAGGAGTGGCGCCTATAGGAATCACAGCAGTGACTCTAAGTTTGGTGAGAACAGCTCCCAGCAGGGTGTCAACAATACAGCCCATGAGCTGGATCCAGTCCCCAGAGCCATGTCCTCTGGTCTGCAGGGCTCCTGGAGGGGGCAGGAATTTGGAGTGGGACAAGCGGGTGAGGAACCGCCACTGAATTGCAGGGTGCGGAGCCGCCATGGACGTGTGCTGCAGCTGCAGCGCTGGGGAGTGACTGACGGCTGCGTGAATCCCTGAGGCTCCCTGAGCTGACACCGATCTGCTCCGACCACGGGTGCCACTGCTCCCACAACTGCAAGCGGGGGTCTGGATCCAGACTGTGCAGATCCCTGCAAACCAGATCTATCCCTGAGTGCCGGGGGGGGCTAAGTGGGTTTATTCCCAAGGGCACTGTTTATTCAAATGGAAAAATCTCTGAAGATACCTGTGAGGGATACAGAGCTGGGTCTTCCCATCCCACACCAAACAAACAAAAAACAAAAAAATCCCAACCCCCTCAGCCCCCAAGACTGAAAGATCTTGACTCTGGTGACTTTGTACAAATATTAGTCTGGAAGGGTCCCCATGGATATGGGGGGGAGAGGGGGTTATCCCCCTATTTCAGATAAGACTGTTATAAGGGCCTATTTGTAAACACTGTGCTTTCACCAGAAAAATATACTGGGTCCTGCTTATTCAAATGAAAAGACTCTGGAGAAACCTGTTTCAGCTGGGATACACAGGTGGGCCCTTCCCATCCCACTTCAGTGCCTTGAGCACCACAAAGTCTTTGCTGTTGCAATATGCTCATCTCTCTTATATTTCTTCCTCTGGCCTTCAAAGAAATAACAATGTGGAGCACAGTTATTAGTTGTGGCCATGGGGGTCTGTGCCTGAAAGCTAGCAAAAAATATTTTTTCCAGGTATTTAGTTGGTCTCCTAAGATATATCACATCTACCCAAAGAAACTTGCCAACATGGAGCAGAGAAAGCTTTTCCCTTTGCAACTTTCTTGAAACACCTCCCTGACCACCCAAGGTTGACTCACTGAGGAACACAGGCCTTTCCCCATGAAACAGTCTTAGCAGCTTTTCAGACAGCTCGACTTTGACTTCCTGAGCTAAAAATGCCAGGGTTATCCTGTGTGTTGTAGACCCAGTTTTCTACAGCAGTGGATTGTCTTTTCTTTTCTTTCCTTGTATGTCATGAGCTTGTATTTCACACAGGAATATGAGATGAACACCGACACTTATAAGAAAAGGAAACTAAAGCTTAACTTTATTATTCTACATCTACTCTTAACTTCTATGTTCAACATTGCACATTATTTGTGCCTTTGCTCTCTTCTCCCTGAATGGCCCATGAAGGGCTCGAAGGCAGGCTACTAACACAGCAGACGCCGGGATGGTCTGACTATGTTCCAATGCCTCAGAGGAAGGCGAAAACCCCCCAGAAGTTGGTTCCGTAAATGAAGGGGAAAAAATTCCTTCCTGGCCCCAAACGGCGACCGGCCAAAGCCCTGAGGCAGGGGTCACAAAATGCCGTCCACACAACAAGAGCATCCTCCACTTGGCAACCTGGGCACTACAAACTCGTGGTGCCTGGTCTTTCCCCAGCTCTTTGCAGGGCCGGGCTGGAAGAAGATGTTCAAGTTCTTCACCCTGAGGGTGTCTCAGGCTGCTTCTCTGTGCAGAGGCTGAAGTGGCTGTGGAGGACGGCTCGGACTGGATGATGACTTGTCAGTCGGTGATGTGTGTGGTGGCTTCGGCGCTGCTGCAGCTTTTCTATGTAGTCGCCGGGCTCCCGGTGAGGTTGGGGAGGTCGTATTTACTCAGGGAGGTGCCTTCAGGGTTGAGGTGGTCTGCAGGTGTTGCTATGCAGTGTAAAAAAAGGCAGCACAAGATTAGATCCATGCATTGGGGCCGTGATACAAGGCTGTGATGTGAGGAGGTGGGGACTGAGAGCTTTCCCAGGACACAAAGGCCTGAACATGTGAATGAGGGAAAACACAATAGACCGTGCTTAGCATCCTGCATGGAAGAAGCTGAACGTCTTTAGGCATCACTGCCCAGCCACGTTCAAGACGAGGTAGATGCTCTGAATGGACAACCCCAGCCCCAAAAAGGCCATGGCTGAGAGAGCTGGAAGCAAGGGAAAGCAGGTCTCCGACTGTGTGAGTCACAGCAACATTTAACAGGAGGCAGAGGGTCCCCCCTGTCCTGGGGTGGCTCAGCCACTTGGGAGAGGTCCCGGGGCTCCTTCATAAAAGATGGCAACACCCTGCAGGCCCACCCATGCCGCCCGGGGCAGAGGGGAGGTTTCCCCAGGGGCAGCAGGGCACGAGGAAAGGGTCCAGCCAGTGAGAGAACCAGAAAGGTAAGACCTGCGGAGGACGGACGCTAGGACAGGGCTCTCTAGGGCAGAGGGGAGAATTGCCCACACGGGGCAGGGAACAGGTTTGTGTTAGTGCCAAGAGCCTCCCCATCCCTTCCCACTGATCCCTGCTCCCCAGGGGCAGAGGGGACAGGACAGTACCTGCAGGAGCAAGTGTGGGCGGCTGGAGAGAGGCGAGGGCGCTGGAGGAGGTGACCAGCAGGCTGTGCCCTTGCAGGTCTTGAGGCAGCTCCTTCAGGCAGGTGATAATGAAGAGCTTGTTCACAACCCGAATGGGGATTTCTTTCTCCTGTAGGGGCACAAGAGCCTGTCAGAAGCCTCTGCTGCCCCAAGGAAGGACAGGAGATGTGGGGAGGGGTCATGTGGCAGGGACTGGTCTGAAACCAATGGGTTTTGGCAACAGCCCAGAGAAATGGGGGCAGGTTCCCAGAGGGACCTTTTTTCTGAGAGTCGTCGTGAAGGCAGGGGGTGGTGGCCTGGGGCAATGGGGCAGATCGACAGTGCCAAGTGGCTGAATCCTCCATTCTCCCTAGAGCAAGTGCACGGCTGGGGGGCAGCAGGAGAAATACAGCCATGTAGGGCCCTCTGCAACTCCTAAGGACTCCTGACTGGAGGCTGGGAAAGGAAAGCTTGTCCTGATTGAGACACTCTCTGTATCTTTGTGCCCTGACCCAATGGAAATGACTTGTGCAAGGGACAGGCTGGTGCCATCCTGCCCAGGAAGGTGAATCCATTCCTTTCTCCAAGGCACTTGGCAGGCCTCCCATTCATGGAAAGACCAGTTTCCTCATAAGGCAGGGGAGATTTCAATCTTACAGACAGGGGCAGCCTTCACCCTCTGCTGAAGTGACTGGCAGGGTCATATCTTGGGATATATAAATATATATATAGTTCATGGATTCAGTTAGCCTATGATGTGCAAATGGATCCCGCCATGAGCTAGAGCTCAGACTCCAGTGTGCAGTGACCTCTCTCTGCTCCATGCTGTCCCCAGGCAACAGGTGGTGATGGGATGAGAACGACTTTACATGGCATAGAGCCGAGGGGCCCTGAGCTCACTCTCCTCCCTCCCCTCACTCCCCATTGTGGCTGCTGACCTTGTGCTCCATCAAGCGGCTGGCTTCCCCCAGGATGGCATACAGGAAGACCAGTCCAGCTTGGCTGATGTGTATTGGTCCAGTGTGAACAGCATGAAGGGCCCTCTGCAGGAAAGCTCTCCTTTGCTCCTCCAGCAAGATCTTTCTCAGCCCCTGAAACAGGAGAACACAAGGCTGGGTACAACCCACACACAGGCTCCATCTCTGGGGCTGGCACCACATCGCCCTGGACACTTGCAAGGCTCTAGCCCACTGCAGGAAGACCCCAGCACCAGGCCTTTCTCCGCACTCCTTCATCACACCATCCTCACCTCTCCCACTCTTGCCAGGTCCCTGTACTTCTGGACCTGGCTCTGCTCGTTCTGGCGCTTGCACCGCAGCTCCTCGGCCCCTCGCATGTCTTGGCCTAGGTCAAGTGGAGACACATGGCTCTGAGCTGCCATCCTAGCTTTGGTGCTCAATGTCCACCCAGTGGGGCTCTGGCTGCCCTTATGGCACCATGAAGGGCAGGACCCAGGCAGGGAGGGCATCGTTCTGCAGGAGCCAATGTGGACCAGGTGTCCTGGGACCAGTCTGGGCTGGAGGCCTTGGGATGCGCTCCCTGGTGCCCGCATGGGACACCCAAAACAGGTGCATAAGCACAGGCTGCAGGGCCACAGCTTGGAGCTGAGGTGGAAAGGCCAAAGTCATTAATGCTGACACCCTGAGTTGTTCCCAGGTCGGGAATGGACAGAGCGGGACACAGCGTCTGGCCCAGCACCTGGGATCAGGCTTTTGGAGGGAAACCGTTGGCATGGGAGCCTTGTACTCCAGCCAGGTCTCCTTACCCCTCTGATGAAGGAGGATTTGAGCGAGCAAATACATGCACGCCCTGGCCTTGCAGCTGATGGTCTCCTCCGGGTCGTTGATGGTAAGACCCCGGCGGGCTGCCATGTCCCCAACCTCCGGTATGTCAGGGGAGCCCTAAGCAGGGGGAGAGGAGTACGGAGTTCATGCATGTCCCACCTTCCTTCCCCAATACATCCCCAGGCCCGGCTGTCCCTTTCCACCTCCCCACATTACCCAGCAGGAGGGCGGGGAGGCAGAGACCACAGTGCCAGAGCATGACACCCCTCTCTTCCCATGGGAACCTGCAGCCCAGGGACTTGCTCAGGGCCCCAGGATCACTCCCCGTGCCTCATGCTCCAGGGCTAGTAGGCCCCAGGACCAGGGCTGACCATGCCTAGAGCAGGTCATGTAAAAGACACCCGTAAAGAGCCAGAGGGCACCACTGAAGCCCTGGAGTGAAGCTCCTTGTCCAGCCCGGACCCCACTTTCCCAGGAGGGCCCTGGCAATGGCAGGGGACCAGGACACTGAGGCCATGGCTCACTGACCTCAAATTGTGGGAGGAGCTGCACAGCAAAGGCAATGGTGTCGGTGATGATCTTCATGCCCAGTGCACGGTGCTGGGCATCCGGCGCCTCAATCCACGATGTAAAGTGCTGTGGGAGGAAGATGTTAAGATCAATGGGCATGAGCCCTGCCTAACCCAGCAGCCGTGGCACCATCCTCAGGACCCGAATTTCGAGCTTGGGCTTGACCATCTTCCTTATCCTTTGAGAGAGTCTTGCTGCAGTGCACACGGCAGGAGCTGTCCCGGCCCGAGCGCAGCCCCTCTGCATGGTGCTCACCTCCCAGATGGAGTAGAGCTTGCCCAGGCTGGGGGCGCTGGACAAGACACAGCACAGCAGGCCCTCCAGGTACTCCTCGTACAGCCGCTGCATGACCGGGAGGCGGTCCCGAGGGTCAGTGCCACAGAGCCTGGGGCCTCCCCTGCCAGGGGGCGGCTTTTGGGACATGGCAGTGGGAGGGGGACCTACCTGGTTTCGACGGGTCTCACGCCCTATGGCCAGGAAGCTCTTCTCCACGGCGGCCCGCAGGAGGCGCGACTCCAGCGCTGGCTCCAGGCTGAGCTTCGGGTCGCTGTCAGGAGAGAGGAGACTGCGTCAGATTGAGCTAAGTGGGGTGGGGGGTGGCACTGGATTGGGCAGGAAACAGCCTGAAAATTTGGGGCTGAGCGGTGGGCATCCCCCTGGTCCATGGCAGAGTGAGAAGAGTCGGGCAGAGGCCCCCGTACCTGAGGCAGCGGATGGCATCTATGCTGTACGCCAGGATGTGTTTTCGGTCGGCCTCCACTGAGATGGTCTCCATCAGGTCCTGTGAGCCCCAAAGGGGACGGGGAGGTAAGGATCAGCCACATCCCCCACGGGAGCCCACCCAGTGCTGCAGGCGCAGGCAGCAGGATCCCAACCAGGCCCCTCCCACCCACCCAGCTGGGCTGGCCCTCTGCCTCCCACGGCCTGGCAACCATGGCACTCAAACCTCTCCTGATCCCACCAGATGCAGGATTGCCCAGCGCCCAGGGCCAGGCGCGCCTGCCCTTCTCCCTCTCATCCTGCCCCACCTCTCCCCTCCTTCCTGGTCTCACAAGACCCTATTTCCATTCCTTCCCTCTCCCCACACCATCCCATGCTGCTCACCACGATCCTCTCCAGCACAGCCACTTTCAGGGCCTCCAGCTCCACAGCCACCTCTCTGCTCTGGTCCGCGGCGATGGTCAGGCTGATGATGGCCAGCAGGAAGCGCTGCCTGTCCTTCCCATCCAGCATCTACCAGGAGCGAGACCAGGGCTAAAGCAGGCTCTTAGCCAGGGGCCTCCTGCTCCTCCCCAAACCCCCTGTGGGACTCAGGCCTCCTCTGCCCCCACGGTGCTGAGATGCATCTCCTCGGGGCAGGCGTTGTAAAGAGCAGGGCAGTGTCCGTGGAGGGAGGGACCCAGCTGGGGCTTCACAAACACCCACCTCGAGCAGCGCCCCTGGGCTGAGTGTGTCCCCTTGCGGGCTCTGGGTCCCAGGGGGTGACCTCCTGCCATGGGCCGCATGGGGGAATGGAGGACTGAGTGGGTGCCGGCTCCGCTGGGGCAGTTTCATACCTCCCCTGGGTCCTGCAGGTGTTTCTTCACAAGGAGGAGGGCAGCTTCTTCCGGGGCCCTTCCATCTTCCTCCTCCTCCTCCTCCTCTTCATCCTCCTCCTCTTCCTCCAGCTCCTCGCCGGCCGGGCTGGGAATCACTGCACAGGGAGGAAAGGGGAGAGGTTTCTCGTGTGCCCCTGAGGGGAAGGGAAGTAGGCTGTGGGGGGCAGAGATGATATTGTGCTCCCTTCGCCAGCACAAGGGTCCTGTGCCTGCAGGAGTCTCACATGGCTCCTCTCCATCAGACTCCTCAGCCCCTGCAATGTCACGCCCCTTCTGAGATGAGACTGGGCTGTCTCCTCCCCACCACAACAGACCCTGGCTCCCCCTTCACCCCACGCAAATGAGGTTGCACTATGACACATGGACTAGGGAGGTTTGTGGCTCAGCCCCCTCACCTTGGCCAGGATCCCCCTGCCCGGCCCCATGGAGGGTCCAACTGGCCTCGCTTAGTGAAAGGTGCTGAGACCTCCGGCCCCAGCGGCTCCCCTCCCCCGTGCGGGGGGCACCGGGGGGCGGG